TTTTTTTTTTGGTCTTGGCCAGATTTCTCTGTAGACCAGGCTGGCCTAGAACTCAGAGAACTGCCTGCCTCCTGAGTGCTGGGATTCCAGGCGTGCAGCACCACTACCAGGCTGGAAGTGAGTCTTTTTGAGAAAGGGTCTTATTAGTTTTGCAGGAATACTGCAGACATTATGTTGTGTCTTCGTCCTTATCATGGGGCTTATAATAGTGGTGTTGACATTATGTGTATGTATATACTGCTCTGTGTTTGTATGTGTGTGCACTTACTTGTGTGCATGTAGAGATCAGAGATTGATATCAGAATGTCTTCCTTTATTGCTTTCTGCTTTAAAATTGAGACGGTTTCTCACTGAACTTGGAACTGGTTGTTTTTGCTAGGCGAGTCCTAGTCTGTTGAGCCCTGGGAATTCCCACCCCCACTGACCTGATGTTATACATGCATACCTCTGGGCCTTGTTTTCATGTGGATTCTGGGAATCTGAATGCAGGTTCTCTTGCTTTTTTTTTTTTTTCTTTTTTTTTCCTTTCTTTCTTTTTTTTTTTTTTTGCAAAAAGGTCTATAGCCAATCAAGCCCTTATCACTATTAAATTTTTTGTTTTCAGACATATTCCTTCTATGCACATCAACCTGGTTTTGAGCTTAAGATTCTGTCTTTGCATCTGTAGTGGGAGCTCTGACTAGTTTGATGTTAATTTATGTGAGTTCCTTAAGATGGTGTTTGCAGCTTGTCAGTGGTGGCTCACACTTTTAATCCTAGCACTCAGGCAGAGGCAGGCAGATCTTTGTGAGTTCTGTGCCAGTCTGGTCTACAGAGTGAGTTCCAGGACTATAGGGGAATGTGTTACAGTTATAGTGTTGCAGAGATATCCTGACTTACAGGGCAGCCAGGCTATATACTTAGAGCCGCAATAGGACAGCTCTGGGGGGGTAGAGAGCTGCAATAGGACAGCTCTCCAAGCTGGAGCTACAATAGAACAGCTCACCTCTGGAGGATAGAGCCTCAATAGGAGTACAGCTCTGGATGCTGGAGCTGTAATAACCGCTCAGCCCTGGGAGAAAGGTGTCCTGACTATTGGCAAGCCAGGCTACCTGAAGATAGGGTGCAGTAGAGGATGGTCTCCCTGCAGGATATAGGGATCCTGCTCTTGTGGAGAGCCAGTACAGCTGAGTTCTGCTCTGTTCACTTAATGGAGCGTCCTAGCAGAGCTATCTGCTTCTCCGGCCCAAGATGTTTCTTCTTTGCCAATGCTCTGCTAAAGGGGAAGCCCCTGTAGAAATGTAGCAATCTCCTTGGCTCTGTTGAAAAGTTGTTACTTTTTTCTCATCGGCCTTGCTCAGCCCCTTTAAGGAGCGTCCTAGCAAGGTTCTTCAGTTCTGTTCCGCCTTGCTCAGGCCCTCTAGGGGAACTTCTCAACAAGATTTTTCCGCTCAGTCCCATAAGGATGGTTCTTCTAGACTGCCTAGCGAATGAAGGTCAACCAAGACTGTTTTGAGAAAGAGATTTATTTGGAATGGAGTCCAGAAGAATGGCGGCCTCTAACTGAAGGGGGCAGAGAGACTTATATAGGGCTTCTTAAGGGTGGAGTTTTCCCAGCTCAGGGATTGGTTAGTTTATCTGGTCAGGGGCAGAGATAGCTCTGACTTCATGGCCAAATTGTGTTTCTTTCACTGGTCCTTTTTAGCTTTTTGACTCCAGTCTTAGGACCAGGGCATACATATTTCCTTCACTGGCTCTGATTCTTGGAACAAAGTGTGTTTGACACTAGTTTCAGAATCAGGGCACGTGTCTTTAGTCCTGGGTTCAGTGATAAAGATGTTTCTTTCCCTGGCCCAGGTCTCAAATCCAGCGTGTGTGGTTTTTTTTTTTTTTTTTAACTGACTCTAGGTTCAGAGTCAAGGTGCTCAGTGATTGGTTAGTTTCCTGCTCCACTTGTCCCTTTTACCCTACAAGAACAGCAAGGGACCCTGTCTGAAACAACCATAAGAAAAAAAAGTGGGTGAGCGAGAGATGGTGTTTGCAGAGCTTCTGAACGGAGATGTTTTCTTTACAAATCTAGTTAATAGTTCAGGGGAGATACATTCCGATTCTGATTCTCATGCTTTCATTTTATTATTAAAATTATTTAATTTTTTTAATGTGTTTTCCTGTTTGTGTGCCTGCGTACCACTTGCATGTCTTTTGCCTGCAGAGTCGTAAGAGGTTGTTGGAGTCCCTGGAAGTGGAGTTACAGATGGTTTCGAGCCACCATAGGGGTGCTGGAAAATGAACCTGTGTCCTCTGCAAGAGCAAATTCTCTAACTGCTTAACCGTCTCTGTATTGTTACAATGTTTGTATGTCCTGTGCAATCAAGCATATTCCTTAAACTTTGTCTACTCATTGTGGTGTCTGTTTTTGCAACAATTGTTGCTGCTATATCACTTTGCCTAATGGTGACATTCAGTTCTTTCCATTACATTTGTTAATTGGATTTCTTTTTTTTCTATTTTTTGAATATCTATTTATTTATTATGTGTACAATATTTTGTCTGTGTGTATGCCTGCAGGCCAGAAGAGGGCACCAGACCCCATTATAGATGGTTGTGAGCCACAATGTGGTTGCCGGGAATTGAACTCAGGACCTCTGGAAGAGCAGGCAATGCTCTTAACCTCTGAGCCATCTCTCCAGCCCCCATTAATTGGATTTCTGTATGAAAGAGCTGCCCTTCTTTCACTTATTCAATAATTTATAACCATGTGGGATTGTGGATATTTTATTTTATGTGTTATAATTCAGTACTATTAGCTGGTAAATGGTGGTGCATGCCTTAAATCCTAACACTTGGGAGGCAGAGGCAGGCAGATCTCTGAGTTTGAGGCCAATCTGGTCTACAGAGCGATTTCCAGGATAGCCAGGGCTACACAGAAAAACCCTGTCTTAACCCACCCCCAAAATTCAGTACTATTATTACTTAAGTTTTACCAACTTTGGCCATTAGAAAATTCTTTTTGTTGTCTCCTTATTTTTTTTTTAATGATTTATTTAACTTTATTTTATGTGCATTGGTGTGAAGGTGTCAGATCTTGTGGAACTGCATTTTCAAACAACTGTGAGCTGCCATGCGGGTGCTGGAAATTGAACCCAGGTCCTCTGGAAGAGCAGTCAGTGCTCTTAACCTCTGAGCCATCTCTCCAGCCCTCTTCTTATGTTTTTTACGTAAGCCCTCATCTTGTTTCCTTTTTCTTTGGGGATGTGGTTTTCCTAGGTAGGCTAAGCTGGCCACAAGCTCAGTGACCTATTTGCCTTTGCCTCTTGTGTTGGGATTGTAGGTGTATACCATCATCCTCAGCAGTAGTGCGATTTAGTAAACAGATTGAAAATGACAAGAAGTGGTACAAAATGATGTCATGGTCAAGATGATGTAATGCGAAGTTGATTACTCTTATTTTATCTCGTCATGTAGTACTGTCCAGTTGTTTATTTTATGTAGTTTGCATGTGTATGTATGGTGTGATGTGTGTGTATATATACGCTTGTTTGTGGCCATGTGTGGAGGACATTCATTCTCCCCCTTATATATATCAAGGCAGGGTCTTTTACTCGAACTCAGAGCTTCCCATTCAGCTAGTCTAGATAATCAGCTTGGAGTGAGAATTCCTTGTCTTCTTCCCATCTACATATGTAGGCTGTCACACTACTGGTGAATAAGTGGGCTTTAGGGATCTCATTCCAGCCCTCATGATTTTGTCACAAATGCTTTCTCTGCAGTACCTTGTTTGCCATTTTCAGTGTCCTGAAGTCCGAAGTAGCCTGTAGCTGACCTTTAGTATATGCTATGGGAAAAAGCATTCCCGCATTCACTTACTAGAGAGGAAGATTGGATTTGATAAAATGGGTAGTTTGGTACTTGCAATTCCAGAACTTAGAAAGTGGGTGGAGGTATTGAGGATCCAGAAGTTCAAGGTCATCCTCAGGTACTTACTGATTTCAGGAACAACTGGAATTCCATAATACTCTGGGATCTCAAAGATTTTTTTTTTGTGGGGGAGGGTTGTCTCTGTGACCACCAAGCCTGGGAGAGTAAGGATTCTAATGAAGCAAAAAGGAAATCTGGGCTGTGGTGGTGCACACTTTAACCCCAACACTTGGGATGCAGAGGCAGGGAGATAGAGGCCAGCCTGGTCTACAACATGTGTAGTCAGTGCTATACAGAGAAAGCCTCTTTTGGTAAAAGAAGAAGAAATTGCAGCTCAACACTTAGGAGCTGGTGTTAGTTCAAACTTTTTTTTTAATTTAAAGATTTATTATATATCTTATGTATGTGATTGTTTTGTCTGCATGTACTTTTGCACATAAGAAGGAAGCATTGGTTCCTCTGAGACTACAGATATAGACGGTGTGAGCTGCCACCATGAACTCATAACCTCTGAAAAAGTAGCCAGTGCTTGTAACCACTGAGTCCCTGGTTTAAACTTCTAGAGTTTCACACTGAGTGATTTATATTAAGCGTAATTAAACCATTTGGAAAAACATTTTCTGATGTAACATAGTTCCCTGTGCACACGGAGACATATTGCATCAAAAGTCTTCTTCCATAAGATGGACTCTGGAGATAGGCTGCCTGTATTATCTTAAGGGCCTAGGAGAAGTTCTGGTGTGGTCTGGTCATCTGGGTTATTAGCCACCTCTGGTCCTACTTGTGGGAGTTTGATATGACTTGACCCTACAGATAGTGCAAAGATCCCCAGGCTCTTAGCTACCTCTATTCCCAGCCTTCTGGGCAGAAAACATGTTTTCCTTTAAAAAGACAGCCCTGCTTGTTTAACATTCCTGGTATCCCTACTGTATCTGTGAGCACAAGGATCTCTGTGCTCCCAGCACAATGAAAGGTTGAATTTGGGTCTCATAAATTTTGGAGACTAGAGAAATACTGGTGTCCAAAAGAGGATACTTGTCAGTGTGATTGATCCATTCAGATTTATAACCAGTTGTTCCTTTTCCCTGTCCTTAATCTTGCAGCTATTGGATCTCCCGGGTATTATTGAAGGTGCCAAGGATGGGAAAGGCAGAGGTCGTCAAGTCATTGCAGGTGAGTGAGTGGTCGGGCTGCCACCTGCAGATACTGCAGATAGCTTCTGTGGGATAGAGGGGTCTAGTTATTCACCCCTGTAAGTTCTGGACTTTTCAGATATCATCTTTATTGATTTTTTTCATGGTTGGCTTTTTTGTTTGTTTTTTTTTGTTTGTTTGTTTTTTTTTGGTTCAGTAGAAATCTTTAATTTTGATAGATTTTAGGTTTATTTTCTATGTATTGTTCATAAGTAGTGCTTAGCCTGCGTTGTATGTATGTGCCCCACGTGTCTGCCTGGTCCCTGGGGAGGCTGGGGAAGTGGTTGTAGCCTCTTGAACCGGAGTACATAAGTGCCTGCCAACATGCCTAGCCTGATTTTGTTTCTTGTTTTTTTGTTTTGTTTTGGTTTTGGTTTTTTGTGCATGAGTTCTAGGGATCAAACTCGGGTCCTGATATAAGCACTTTACCTACTGAACTATCCCCCCAGCCTTGAAGATGTTTTATAAATCCATACCTCCTTAGTTTTGTTGTTATTCTTTATTTTTATTTTTGTGTGTGTCTGTGTGTGTGTAGCTCAGTGACCATGGAGGTCTGAAGAGAGCACATTGGATCCCTTGGAACTGGGATTATGGATGGTTCTGAATGCCAGGAATCAAATCTAGGTCCTTGGCAAGAGCAGCATGTGTTGTCGACCATTGAGTCATCTCTCCGGCCTGGATTTAGATTTATGATGCGTTTGGTGCTGTAACAGATTATGTCACGTTAGAAGAAGGGAGTATTGATTTTGATTTGCTGTTTCAGAGATTTCAGTCCAGTATGTCAGGGAGGACTGAACAGAGCTTCCATTGGTCAGAAGAGAGGTGGAAGGAAGAAGAAAGGATGAGGGAGGGGATAGTGTCAATGACCAGTGAGCACACAGAAAGATTCAGCATTGGTGGTCATTGCCACCACTGAGAGCAGTCATTAAATACTGGTTAGTAATACCACTGCCTGCGGGAAGGGTGTGACGTACTCACTGCTAGTGGGAATATAAATTTAAAAACACTCGGGCAACTGTTTAGCGGGTTCTGGTCACTTTTATTTGTGATGTGCAACAGTTTCACTGTGTCTATCTAGGAAAAATGAAAACATATCAACAGAAAGACTTCGACATTACCATTCTCCCCCTCCCCACCCTAGGTTTTCTCAGCGAAACAGCTCTGACTGCTCTAGAATTTGCTTTGTAAACCAGATTGGCCTTGAACTCACAGAGATCTGATTGCCTCTGCCTCCCAAATGCATGACTGTTTATAGCAGACTCAAATTATGCTTTCAAATAGAAAACAGGTGAATAGCAGGTAATAGTTTACTACTCAGTTATAAGAGACAAGTTACTGATAACAAACACAATATGCTTGAATATTAAATGCTAGAAGAAAAGATTTAAGCAGAAAAGAGGACATTTTTATTTTACTCTATGTGGAATTTTAAAAAGTAAAACTTCTATGATGCTAGGAAGTGGTCTAAAACTGGTGTAACTTTCCAGGGTGATTTGGATGTTCTGAAAGTTTTGACTGACTTATTTTTGACAGGGTCTCCCATAGTCTAGTTCTGATCTTCATGCTGGGATTGCAAGTGTCCACCTATCTTGACTATCTTGACACTGTATCTTAACGATTGTGGTGATATCATTAAGTCATCTGCTAAACAGATACAGTTTGTTTTTGTAAAGTGTAGTTTGATAAGGCGGATTAAATGTCTGTTACTTCAGGACTGGAGAGATGATTCAGTGATTCACAAGCACTGACTGGCCTAACAGAGGATCCAAGTTTGATTCTGAACACCCACATGATAACCTACAGCCCTCTGTCTCCAATTTCAGGGGATCTTCTGGCCTTTGGGATATTCGGGCAAACACATCAAATCAAAACCAAACCAAATACATAACTGTGCTCATGTAATACAGATAATATAGTCTGGATTTTATTTTAAAGTGTATATTTTAAGGTTTATTATTTTAGAGTTTGTATTTTTAAAAACATTTCTAAGTTTCTTGGTAGTTTATCTCTCAGCTGATATCTTTAGTGTGATTGTCTTACTCATGTTAAAGACAGGCCAGTTTTTGAGGGATGGTTTGACAACTTTTAAGTCATGCAGTACAGATTGATAGCTAGTATAAATCTTTGATAACTTTCACATTTTATGTGTATATAAGAGCAAGAAAAAAATCTCAGTCCGGGGCTAGATAGAAAACACCTTAATTTGAGTTTTTGGGTTGGTAAAGGCTGTATGCATTAAACTTAAGGTGTCATTTTTACCCCCAGTGGCCCGAACATGTAATTTGATCTTGATTGTTCTGGATGTCCTAAAACCCTTGGGACATAAGAAGATAATTGAAAATGAGTTGGAAGGCTTTGGGATTCGCTTGAACAGCAAGCCCCCCAACATTGGCTTTAAGAAGAAAGACAAGGGAGGCATTAATCTCACAGCCACTGTAAGTGGGGAAGATGACATGGGGTAGAGTACCGACTGGGGGTGGAGTGAAGGTGGACTCAAATGTGCAGAAATTGGTAACTTGAAACTTCTCTCCTCTTTTCCTGCTCTCACTGAGATAATTCAGTGACCTTGTATGAAAAGATAAGAAAAACAAGGTCTAGACAGGAGTCATCCTCAGACTTTTTCACCTTTATATTTCCTCTTTTTAGGCCTCTACCTAGGGTGGTACAAGCATTTGGAACATTATTCCCATGAAGTAGCTCCCAGTGTCCTGTGTTCTTGTTTAGCATTAACTTATACAGCCCTGACCATAGACCAAGCATTAGCTTATGCTCTGGAAATGCATGAGGAAGGCATGGAGTAGTCGAGAACCCTTATTCTTGGGTAAATGAACAATTAATGAGGAAGATACAGAGTGTTAGATTGCTAAAGTAGGGAAAGGTGAGGAAGCTGTGTGTTCTATGTAACATGTGGGCCGGCTTGTTGGGGTATCTGTCCCGCCCAGTACCCCACAGCAGGCAGGCCCCAAAGAAAATCACACACAGGATTCCATAAGATTATAAACTGATTGACCCATTAGGTCAGGCTACTCATTAACTCTTATAACTTATGTTACCCCTTTATCCTTATCTACGTTAGCACATAGCTCAGTACTTTTTCCAGCGGGGCAGCTTACATCTTTCCTCTCCAGTGGTCTGGGCAGAACTGGAAGCTTCCTGCTTCCCAGAATACTCCCAGTCTCTTTGCTCCACCCCTACTTCCTGTCTGGCTTTCCCGCCTATACTGCCTGCCTGGCCAATCAGCGTTTTATTAAAATACGATTGACAGAATACAGATAATTCTCCCGCACCAGAAAGTGAGATTATAGGATTGAGTAATATATTGAAATTCTTTTATGAAAGTGGCCTGGCCAATCAGCGTTTTATTAAAATATGATTGACAGAATACAAACAATTCTCCCACACCATTTCCCTCTTTTTTTTCTTTTTTTAAACAAAGAAAAATACTCATAGTCCATTTGTTGGGAATGTGGGCGTAGTATTTCAGGCTACTTCCTGCTGGTTGGGGCGCTGATGATCTTATGGGGACCTAAAGAAAATTTAGAGTTATAATCAAGTCCTGACTGAAGTATCCTGTGAGTCTCAATCATCTCAGGCAGCAGTCTTGAATCTGTTCTGGATGTAGAACTCAGACATCCAGGCCATCTATTCCTGTCGGAGATTTTTCAGGTGGCCTCCCTTGGTCAAAGATGATTTTTCTTAACTCTGAATAAATCCACAGCCTCTCATTTTCTGTGGAAACAAAAGCAAAATCTCTTCTCCAAAGTAACATACCTTTTGACAATTTTGAAGCCAAGGTATTTTCAAAATGCCTATCTTGGATTAATTCTGTAGCATTTATAAGCAAATATTTTTTAGCAGCTGTTGCTCCTTCCTCAGCAATCAAACAATTCAAAGAGAGCATAATAGCATACAGTATCAAGATTCTCTGTTTATTTTCCATCTTTATGTGGCTTTATTTCAACCTCTATTTCTTTTATTTTGACTTTAAACTTTTGTCTTTTTGAGACAGGTTCTCTGTATATCTTTGTCCTGGAATAACTCTGTAGACCAGGCTGTCCTTGAACTCACAGAGATCCTTCTGTCTCTGCCTCCCCAGTGCTGGGATTAAAGGCGTGTACTACCACACCTTAAAGTCACAGAGGTCAATCTACCTCTGCCCCTTGAAGTCACAGAGGTCAATGTACCTCTGCCTTTCAGGCATTGGGATTAAAGGTGTGTACCACCACACCCAACTACTCCCTTTTTCTTTTTTACTTTTAAGAACATTAACCTTTAGCCTGCATATATTTTTAACACACTGTAATACATTTAGAGGTTTTCTTTGTCTTTGAATCTCTTTTTACTGTATATCTCTCTTTTTCTGACCACATGAGTCTTTAATTTACCAAGCAATATTGGTAGGACTAAAGCCGTGGCTTTGACAGCTAGATCCAGCCCATTACTTAGCTTTCCAGCCTTGTGGCTGAGGTATCAGCCAGAGCTGTGTTCACTGCCACAACTCTATGGTGTTTCAAGGTCCCTACCAACAAGCAAGCTGCAGCATTCTGCTCACAGACCACACTCAGTTGGACTGCTTGCCTGAAAGAGTCAGAGTTTGCCCTGGCAGGACGGCCGGCATTTTACAACAGCGCTCCTTTTTTCCTGCTACAGCTGAAAACCGAAAAGAGGTGTTCAGCTTTTCACCAACACCGTTTAAGTGTTTCATGGCAGGACCTCTTAATGAGCTGCAGGGTTTTGCAGCTAAAGCTGAGTCAGGAAGCCTCTCTTAGATGAAAGTGCTTGCTTGCCTCTAGCAAGCAGAGCAGACCCGAGAAATTGCTGCTACCAAGAAACCATGCGTAATGCTGTCATTTTGTTCTACAATTTCTTCCCAAGCTGTCTCAGGCTTTATGTGGATACAGTTGCCCCACGTTGGGTGCCATAAGTAAGTAACATGAGGGGCCGACTTGTTGGGGTTTCTGTCCCACCTGGTACCCCATATCCGGCATACTCCAAGGAAAATCAATCACACAGAGATCTCTGTAAGTTATAAAGCTGATTGGCCCATTTGATCAGGCTACTTATTAGCTCTTATAACTTATGTTACCCCATTACCCTTATCTATGTTAGCACATGGCTCAGTACCTTTTCCAGCGGGGCAGCTTACATCTTTCCTCTTCAGTGGTCTGGGCAGAACTGGAAGCTTCCTGCTTCCCAGAATACTCCCAGTCTCTTTGCTCCACCCCTACTTCCTGTCTGGCTTTCCCGCCTATACTGCCTGCCTGGCCAATCAGCGTTTTATTAAAATACGATTGACAGAATACAGATAATTCTCCCACACCAATTAATGAGGAAGATACAGTGTGTTAGATTGCTAAAGTAGGGAAAGGTGAGGAAGCAGTGTGTTCCCCACCTCCCCTGACTGTGTTTCATGTATCTCAGAGTGGCCTCAAATTTACAATGTAGCTGGGAATTATCTTGAACTTCTTATACTCCTGCTTTTGCCTCCTAAGAGCTGGGAGGACAGATGTTTCCCAGCATGCCTGGTTTCTGGGGTTTCTTGGGATTGAATCCAGGGCTTTGTGCATTCTACCCGCTTAATTACAGCCATAGACTCTAGGGCTACTTTTCTCCTTTTTTCCCCTCCCCGAACAGGGTTTCTCTGTGTAACATCCCTGGCTGTCTTGGAACTCACTCTGTAGACCAGGCTGGTCTTGAACTTAAGATCTCCCTGCCTCTGCCTCCTAAGTGCTGAATTAAAGACTTAGGCTACTCTGACCCACAGGGTTACCTTTCTAAGTTCACAGAAACACTGGCTGAGGTGACATGAGAACGGCAGCCAGTGAACATATCTTGGAGAAGGATGTTTGTTGGAGAGCAGACCAAGTGTAAGTTCCTGAGATTGAAGCATAAAAGCAACAGAGGGAACAAGCTAGAAATCCGCTCCTGGAATAATATTATTCTGACGTGTGGAATGACCTTGACTGACTTTTGTTTTATTTTTGGTTTCTCTGTAGCTTTGGAGCCTGTCCTGGAACTTACTTTGTAGACCAATTTGGCCTCGAACTCACAGAGATTCACTTGTTTCTGCCTCCAGATTGCTGAGATTAAAGGAGTGCACTACTACCTGGCTAAGTCTGTTTTTTTTTTTTTTTTTCATTTTTGTTTCAAGTGTTTTGCCTGCATTTGTGCATATCATGTATGTGTGGTGCCTAAGATGCTTTTGTTGTTTTTATTCTTTACTCTTTTGGGGGGCCCACCACCCAGCCCCAAATAGTCACACACCGAGACTTAAGAATAACTTGTGAGGGCTGGAGAGATGGCTCAGAGGTTAAGAGCATTGTCTGTTCTTCCAAAGGTCCTGAGTTCAATTCCCAGCAACCACATGGTGGCTCACAGCCATCTGTAATGAGGTCTGGTGCCTTCTTCTGGCCTGCAGGCTTACATGCAGACAGAATGTTGGATACATAATAAATAAATAAAATATTTTTTAAAAAAAAAGAATAACTTGTGAATGCCCGCCCTTAGTTTGACTTGTTTCTAGCCAGCTTTTCTTAAATTATCCTGTCTACTTTTTGCTTTTGGGCTTTTATTGTTCTCTGTTTTACTGTTTTGTATTTTACTGTTCTGTATATCTTTTCTTTCTTTCTTGTTCCGTGTCTATTTGTGTAACTGGGTGGCTGGCCCCAGAAGTCCTCTCCCTTCTTCTTTTGCTCCTCTGATCTGTCCTTTCAGACCAGATTTCTCCTTCTATTTATTCTCTCTGCTTGCCAGCCCTGCCTATCCTTTCTCCTGCCTTACTATTGGCTGTTCAGCTCTTTATTAGGGAAATCAGGTGTTTTAGATGACAGGCAACGTAACACAGCTTCACAGTGTTAAACAAATGCAACATAAAAAAAGGTGACACATCTTTGCATCATTAAACAAATATTCTGCAGCATAAACAGATCTTATATCTTATACTATCTCATATCTTATACTAATATTTCACAGTACTGAAGAGACTGAAAGAGGGTATCAAATATCTGAAGTTACAGATAGTTGTGGGCTGCTATGTGGGAGCTGGGGGCTGAAACTGGGGCTTCTGTAAGAGCAGCAAATGCTCTTAGCTACTGGGCCATCTCTCTAGCCCCAAGTTTAACTTTTATAATTTTTAGTGTTTTGAGACAAGGTCTTTTATATACCCAGCTGGCCTTATATAAAACTTCTGATCTTCCTTCTTCCACTTCTTAAATGTTAGAGTAACAGGCATATGCTCTACAGCAGACTTTAGGACTTACTTGTGTTGAATTGGTTTAAGAGGTTATTTCGGTGATGTAGGAGGGTCATCTGTCTTTGTGTTACTTTCATTGTTTAATAAAGAAACTGCCTTGGCTTTTTTAGGGCAGGATTTAGATAGGTGGAGTAGACAGAACAGAATGCTAGGAGAAAGAAGCAGAGTCAGGCAGACACCATGATTCCCCTTCCCGAGACTAGACTCATGCCGGTATGCCACAACCTCATGGTGGTATACAGATTATGAGATATGGAAGTCTCTGTGGAGACCACATTGACCTCGAACTCAGAAAGTCCTGCCTTTCACTGCCTGCTAATTCTGTCCTTAAAGGACAAGCTAAGCAATGACTCTTAAAAAAATAAAAAGGAGGGGAGGGTCTGGTAGGAGTGGTGAGGTGGGGTGGGGTGGCGGTCGGAGGAGAGGCTGCAAAAGTCCGTTCTCCCAGCTATGGGTCCTGAGAATGGCAGCAGGCCCCTTTACCACTGAGCATCTAACTGTTCCTGAAGACTGCATTTTATTTTTTAAAATTATGTGTATGCTGGACAGTGGTGGTGCACAGCACACGCCTTTAATCCCAGCATGTGGGAGGCTGAGGCAGGCACTTCTCTTGGTAAAAAGAAAACGGTTTAAGACAAAGTGGGAGAAGGAAAACTGGAGAAAATAAGACTGTCGGAGATCCAATAAAGACAGTCTTTCTGATAAAATGGGAGCGAGCAGATTTATCAGTTGCTGCTGTTTTAGCCAGTGAATTAATAAGGTCTGAGAATTTCCTCAGAGTTCAGATTAATATAGGCTTAAGCTCTCTTTTCTGAAAGATCTTCCTGTTTATTTTGCCGTGATGTCTGCCCTTGAGAGTTCTTTGGATTAGTGTGCTATAGCTTATTCATAGCTGTTTGGCTTGACCAACAGAGGTAACTGCTGGATGGATAATGAATTAGGATTTTACCTTAATATCCTGTTCTAATTATCTCCTTAGAGATAGTGTCATCAATGATTGTAACATTCTGAGAACTGAGCATAAGACTTCAGTGTATGAATTACGGGGAGTGGGCTGTGTGCAGGACACAGCACATTTTACACCTACCTGAATTTAGAAAGCTTTTTAGTTCTACTGTAAGTTAGTTACTCTCGTCAGGGCGATGTAGTGAGTTTACATTTTGGCTAGAAGTTTTCAGGCACAGGACTGGGGATGTTGCTCAGTAGATAGGATGTTTGACTAGCATGCACAAAGACTTGTTTAGTTCACAGTACCACATTGACAGAGCGTGGCATTGCATGTCTGTGATCCAAGCACTTGGGAGTTAGTTATACTTAGGAGGATCAAGATCATTCTTTGTTTGAAAGCACTCAAAAAGAGAAAAGTACGGAGAGACTGGATATGATGGTACCTGACTTTAATCCCAGCACCCACACAGAGACAGGTTGATCTCTTTGAGTTTCAGGACAGCCAAAGCTACATAGTAAGACCCTGTCTCCCAGTAAAGAAGAGTACATTGTCCCCCATCCTCCCTGATTGGTCTTTTTTTACTCTCTCCATTCAGTGTCCCCAGAGTGAACTAGATGCTGAAACAGTAAAGAGCATTCTGGCTGAATACAAAATTCACAATGCTGATGTGACGTTGCGGAGTGACGCCACAGCGGATGACCTCATCGATGTGGTAGAAGGAAACAGGTGTGTCTTTGTAACTGGTTTGAAGTTAGAGGGAGACTAACAATGGTTAGGTAGGAATTCAGCCCCAGGGTATGTTTGTGGGCCTTGAGGTCTTCACTAGCACATGCAGGTTGATGTTCATTTCTAACTTCTTCCTTGCTCTGCAGTTTAATTAATGATGGTGTTATTCCCTATTTGGGTTATTTGCTGGAACCTGTGCTGCTTAAGCCCTTCTGTCAAGCAGTAGTTGAAAAGAGGGAGCTGGTCGGGTCGGTCCCTTCTCTCCAGTTACGATTACTTAAGCGAGCATGTCTGCCACCTTGCACAAGTCAGAGCACCAGGATGTCTTTCCCGTGCATCCTAACTGTATGTGGCTGAAAACTTGTTCTATGAAACACTGCTACTGTTAGCACTTGAGTAATTTAAACCACTTTGTTGAAGTTATTCCTAACATTAAAGAGAATCTTCTTAGTTGTTTATTTGAAGAATTTGAGTCAAACGGAAACAAATGAATGCAGTTTGGCAGTTTACGAGTGAAGCACCTGAATCTGAGAAGCTGCCGCTTGCTTGACTACTAGTGATCTTAACTGTCACACTGAGTGGACACCAGGACTATAATAGTGCTAAATGCTATACTTAAGCCAAATGGTGGTGGCGCACGCCTTTAATCCCAGCACTTGAGAGGCGGAGGCAGGCGGATCTCAGTTCGAGGCCAGCCTGGTCTACAGAGTTCCAAGATAGGCTCCAAAAAGCTACACAGAGAATCCCTGTCTCAAAAAAAAAAAGTTTAGTGTTTAAAAACTATCGTGAGCTGGAGCTATAACTCATGATTCAGTCTACCCTACCATGCACAAAGCCCAGCATTTTCTGACAAGAACAAAAGGATGTTGTTAGAAATTGCAGGTATACATGCTGAGAACTGGTGGTGGTATACACCTTTAGTTTCAGCAGAGACAGGTGGATCTCTAAGGTACATAGAGAAACCCTGTGTCAAAGAAAAAACAAAAAAAAAGAAAGAAAGGGAGGGAGGAAGGAGGGAAGGAAGGAATCATGGGTTTATTTTTGGGTGGAGGGGTTGAGACAGTAGCTCACTATCTGTCCTGAAACTATGAGTCGATCATTAAGCTTCCCCTTACCTTTTGGTGATGTCCCTTCCTCTGCCTTCCAGTGCTAGGATGGCAGGCGTGTGCCACTATGTTTTTCTTTTCTTCTTTAAAAACAAAGAAAAAAATTAAGTCCAGGGACTGGCATTATGTTTGAAACTAGGGCCTGAGTTTTTTGTTATTTTACAATCTATAATTCAATTTTTGGACTTTGTACTTATTTTTTTATTTTTGCTAGTTTTTACTTTTTATGTGTATGTGTCTGCACCAAGCAGGCCAGAAGAGGGTGTTCACCCACTGGAAGTAGTGAGCTATGCAGTGTGGGTGCTGGAAACCACTAAGTCCTCTGGGAGAGCCAGGGCTCCTGACTGCTCAACATCATGCGTACTGTGGGTTTATATTTGTGGTGTGTGTGTGTGTGTGTGTGTGTGTGTGTGTGTGTGTGTGTGTGAGAGAGAGAGAGAGAGAGAGAGAGAGAGAGAGAGAGAGAGAGAGAGAGATTCTGGAGTGTGTCATGGTCCCTACTTGAAGATCGGAGGACACTTTGTGAAGTTGGTTCTCTCCTTGCACCTTAGTGAGTTCTAGGATCATCCTGGGTCCTCGGGTTTGCTGGAAGGTGCTTTGCCTGCTACTTTCTATAAATGGACGATGCTGATGGCTTTTGAGGGCCTGGGGCGGGGAGTGCTAAGTATTCAGGCTGTTTTATCAGCAGCTCCAAGTTAATAACTTTTCTTCTTCTCCTTTGTAGAGTTTATATCCCCTGTATCTATGTATTGAATAAGATTGATCAGATCTCCATTGAGGAATTGGATATTATCTATAAGGTGCCTCACTGTGTACCCATTTCTGCCCATCACCGCTGGAATTTTGATGACCTGTTGGAGAAGATCTGGGACTATCTGAAACTAGTGAGAATGTGAGTCCTAATGGTGACGTTGGGGGCTCCTTAACAGAATGTGTCTGATTCAGAGCTAGAAGTAGCCTGCTTCCTATTGAGGAGATTGGAGGTCACCTGGTCTGCTGGCAGAGGTGGTGAGGGTCGTGTATATTCAACACATGGCAGCCTGTCTTTCCTCTGTTGCAGTTACACCAAGCCCAAAGGCCAACTACCAGATTACACCTCCCCAGTGGTGCTGCCATACTCCAGGACCACAGTGGAAGATTTCTGCATGAAGATACACAAAAATCTTATCAAAGAATTTAAATAGTAAGTATCATGACATGTGGTACTTTCTTTTTTTTAAAAAAATATTTATTTATTATGTATGCAATATTCTGTCTGTGTGTCTGCCTACAGGCCAGAAGAGGGCATCAGATCTCATTACAGATGGTTGTGAGCCACCATGTGGTTGCTGGGAATGAGGTACTGGTTTCACTAATAGTAGTAGTAATTCTTAGAGGATTAAAGAAACCAGGTAACAAAGATACCACTGAAGGGATTTCTTGAAGGGATTCCCCCCCCTTTTTTTTAAATAATTTGTATGTACTATGTATCCCTGGCTGGCTTCTGCTTCCCAACAACTGGGATTATAGGCTTGTGCCAAAATGACCACCTTCCCTCTTGATGTTGATTTTTTTTTCATGTGTATGTGTATATGCCTTAGTATGTATGTGTACCACATGTGTGCAGAGCCTATAAGTTATTATCAGATCACTTGGAATTACAGGGAATCAAGCTTGGGTTCTCTGAAAGAGCAGCATATTCTTCTAACCTCTGAGCCAGCCCTCTCTCAGTGTCTCCTTAAAGCCAGGCCTACCTAACCGGAGCAAGAGAGTTCCAGAAGCCTCTTTAGTTCAGGAGTGTTTTCTGGGACTCAGTTTCCTGTCTGGCCCTCCCTTACTCACCTTCCTTTTAGCAGATACTGATTTTAGGACCCGGCCAGTGGCTTAGTGAATAAGAATGCATGCATTGAAAGCAAGAAACCTGAGGTCAAATCCCCTGCTGTCACATAAAAACTGCTTGGCCCCAATTGCCTGTAAGCCCAGCATTATTGGTTAGAGACGGGGTGCTGGAAGCTTTTTTGGGTCTTCTGGAGAAGCTGTAAGTGCACTTAACTGCTCAGCCATCTCTTTTGTTTGTTTTTCAAAACAGGATTTCTCTGTGTAGTCCTGGCTGTCCTGGAACTCTATAGACCAGGCTGGCCTTGAAGGTACTCAGATCTACCTACCTAGTACTAGGATTAAAGGTGTGCACCACCATTCTTGGTTCAGGCCCCCATTGTTTTGCCTTTTTTTTTTTCCAGTTGACTATGAATGAGAGTAGTTCTGAAAGCATTGTCATGGTGTGAGAAGTCCCAGTGCATGACAATGCTGTAGAAGTAGCTTTGAGTGTCCCAGTTTGGAAGAAGGCTATTGTCTGTTGTAGGTCGGTGTCTTTTAAGGGCTAGGATGCTCAATCTGATAAGACTGGAACCTAGGCAACTAGAGCTAAAACTGGTTGTTACTGCCACTGACTGCCTTTATTCCTTTTGCTACAGTGCTTTGGTCTGGGGTCTCTCTGTGAAGCATAATCCTCAGAAAGTGGGTAAAGACCATACATTGGAAGATGAGGACGTCATTCAGATTGTAAAGAAGTGAACCTGCCTTCCCCTTCAGCCATTGGATTGGGGTATAGGAATGGAAATGAAGACTCCAAAGTGGAACATCATTTGTCTTTGTTGGGGGCGGGGGTAGGGTCCCATTTATTTCAGGCTGGCCTTGAACTCTGTAGCTGAGGCTCACCTAGAATTCTTTATCCATCAGCTTCCATCTCCCAAGTGCTGGGCTTGCCAGTGTGTACCAGCATATCAGCAACATCACCTTTCTTACCTTGGTGTCACATGTCTTGAACTGTATAAAAACTCTGGTGGGCCCATTGGCTGTGTGTCATTGTCAGATTTGCTGTGGGTCCAGCTGAATGAGGAAACAGCTGTATGTACAGGGAGGCGGCTGCAAAGCGGGAACCAGATAACGTGACATGTGCTGTCCTGTGTGATGGACAGTAATGAGAGGCTCTTTCACCTGGTGTGGCCTCTTTGCCTTCAGGTGATCTTAGGACATTGGTGAGGGGAAGGACATTCTGAAGTTATCTGCTTATTTCCTCCAGTGCCGATCTGTTATGGAAGATAGCAGTTGAGTGGTCTGGGAGCAGAGTGGGGTTTGAGTTGTATAGGAACCTAAAAAGATTACTCAGCCTTTGTAAGCGTCCATTTCATCATGTAATACAGGGATCATGGCATTCACTATTAAGGTTGTGGTGCTGTTATTAGGGGTGGGTTTTGGAAGTTGCTTAGCACAGTGTCAATCATATACAATACTCAGTATATATTGATTTCTGTTGTTGCAAAGTTGGTTTTTTTTTTTTTAAACTGGGCTCATTGCCTTCCATAGACTCAGCACAGTATAGTCATGTCACCAGGACCTCCAAGCTAAGACTTTGACTTTAATCCTTTGGCAGCCTCTTGTTGATCATGTAACTTTGATGAAGGCAGGGAGACATGAGAAGTGAGGTGGCTGCTCTTACCAGAATAGGCGTGTGGAATGGGAGGGAAGGTTCATTAAGACTACTGAAGAGCCGGTGCGTGCCTTTAATCCCAGCACTTGGGAAGCAGAGGAGGCAGAGCCTGGTCTACAGTGACTGCCTGGACAGCCAGGACTGTTTCACAGAGAAATCCTGTCTCAAAAAACAACAAAAAACAACAATAACAAAACACTACTGGCGAGAGCACATGCGGGCCTGGGAAGAAGGGAATTTCAGCTGATTGTCCTGATTATCTGAAGATGGTTGGCAATAATCACATCATGGCTTAGTGACAAGGTGGGCTGTAGGTACAGGGAATTATTGCTTAATCACTTGTCTCGAAGATTAATTTAATGTGATCTGCAGGGACGGTAGAGAAGGCATCGAAAAACAAGAACAGGCTTGTCTTCAAGAGAGATGAGCTAGAACCTTTATCTGAGTGAAGGTGTGGCCTCCCACGAACTCCCCTTTGCTCAGACTTGCCCTCCTGCTGCTCTAGAGTGGTCTCTTCCCTTTCTTTGGGTTCAGCACTGTCCTCAGGTGCAGGTTGGCTCACCTGTCCCAGGCCACAGACTGGTGTCTGTCACTGGACATTCACTGATTGAGTATAACCGAAAGCCTACCAAACACTACAAAAAAGAACTGACTTTTAGGGCAACGGGATTTCTAGCTAGGTTTGTTCTCCAGTGTGAGACTCCTCAAGCAAAGCAAGATTCACTTTGCTTAAACATGCACTTCAGGATGCTGACGAGAGGACAGTCCCAATCCTTTGCAAGGCCTCAGTTACCCTTCCCCCAGTTGCCAGCCCCACACACCTTGAGAAGTTGTCCTTTAGCCTGGTGTGGCAAATACCTATAATGTTAGCATTTGGATAGAAGCTTAATGACATGCATAGTTAAAGCTGGCTTTAACTATGGAGAAATGCTGTCTCCATCCCTCAAAACAAACCTTTCCCCTTCTTTGGGTCTTAGACTTGATGGTCTGAAGAGAAGAGGCAGTGTCAGGGAACTGGCTGGGAAAGTGCTGCCTTTGAGACAAGGTCTCAGCCAGCAGTGATGTCACACGCCTTTAATCCTAGCACTTGGGAGGCAGAGGCAGGTTTCTGTGAGTTTGAAGCCAACCTGATTTACAGAGTTGAGTTCAAGGATACACAGGGCTGCACAGAGAAACCTGTCTCTAGAGGAGTGAGAGAGAAGAAAGGAGGTTTATGTAACTGGCTGACCTCAAATTTAGAGAAAGCCTCCTGCCTGCCTCTGCTTCCCAAGTGCAGAGATTAAGTGCATATAATCCACACCCAGTGAGGTGCATTCTTAGAGCCAAAGACCTTTCTCCTGAGGTCTCAGGGAGACTGGAGGTGTGAGTTAAACTCATAACATGGGTTTAATTTCCCTTTTTGTTTTCCTGGCTTTAGTATAGCTAAAAAGACCCACTATTCTGCACCATTTTTAAGTTAGGCTTCTAAAGCACCATTTCAGTCTGAAGTATTAGGGTAATCATTGAGAGGGCATTTTCACAGAAGTCATGCCTTCCTTAGGTCTCTCACCTACTCTATTCACTACAGCTTGGTGGCTTTTTTGGGCAGCTGGCTACCCAAAATCAAAAAAATCCTAGAGCTATGAGTTGAACATGCAGGGAATACAGCGATTTTGAGACAGGCTCTCACTGTGTAGGTCTAAGACTATCAGATCAGTTTGTTTCATTAAATTGTTGGTGAAGGGACTAGAACTGAAGAACTTTAAAAAAGATTTATTTATTTATTATGTATACAACATTCTGCCTCCATGTATGCCCACATGCCAGAAGAGGGTGCCAGATCTCATTACAGATGGTTGTGAACCACCATGTGGTTGCTGGGAATTGAACTCACAACTTCTGAAACAGCAGCCAGTGCTCTTAACCACTGAGCCATTTCTCCAGCCCAAGAACTGTATTTATTCCTGTAAGTGATCTTTGTCTCATTTGTATGTATAATTCACAAAGAGGCTAGTGTCCATCTTTGACTAGCCTCTTTGTAAATGGAGACGATAATAGAGGGGCAAGGCGTGGCCACTTCTGATCCCTGCTGCCTTCCCAAGGACTCCTTATTCCTCAGCTTATTTTGGGAAACAGCTGTTACTCTCCTCACCTCACTTCCCTCTCAATGTTGGTTTTCATCTTTTAATATGTATATGGGTATTATATGGGTATTTTGCCTTTGTGTATTGTGGTGGACCCCTTGACCAGCAAGGAAGAATGACCACAAGTCGAGGATTCTTCTCACATCACACTTTATTGGAGCCTCTTGGTTGAAGGGAGAGCGGGAAGCGAGAGAGAGAGCCAAAGCAAAGCGGCATCTGCTTATATAGGGTGAAGGGACTCGGGTACTGTCCTGATTGGTGAATACCAGTCTGCTGATGCCCGGAGCCTCGGGATTGGCCAGGGACAAGGCTCAATTGCACATGTGCAGGCAAAGGGCGCTCAGCCCCTCGCGGCAATACCAAATAAGGACTTGTTTACCTCCAAGCTGCAGGACCAGCGGCACCATCTTGTAATGGCGATTATCTCCGGGCGGCTCCCTACAGTTCCCCCTTTATGTTTTTAAGAGCTATAAGGCAAAGGACTATTTCCCAATCAGGTCCCCACCTCATGATGTGTGGACCGATCGAGGGAAAGGAATAAAGAATAGGCAAGACACACCCTTCCCGTGCAATGGGACAAATTATTCCCAGGGAGTGCAAGGGCTGTATCTGCACACTCTCCTCTATGCATACCTTCCTCTGTGCAATGGGACTATCGTGTCCCTCGAGGGTGCAAAGGCTATGCATAGCATATTGCCTATGAGCTCTTTAAGGCTGAAAGCCAAATATGGGGTGAGGATACACATTCCAAGGCAGCCAAGGCTTGTGCCACAGTGACATTGTCCCTCCTCGTTTGGGCTCGCAAACGGCACACCAATCATAGACATACCACACATCCACCTAGGCAGCATGCCAAAAATATCCCTACCCCCACCCTTTCCTTAAAGTAGGAAAAGGCAGAATAAAGCCAGTCGGAAAATTGCTCAAAGGTAAGAGGCTGCACACGGGTGCTGTTCAAAGTGATAATGTGAAACAGCTGCTCTTGGAGTAACGTCTCCATCTCCATCAACCAATTTCCCACCAAGTATTGTCCGATTTGCTGGGATACATTCCTGGAGTTATTAAAAACAACAGAGGTAATGCAAAGATGTTTCTGATATGACATGCAACCAACTTGAATTAAGCTGGTCAATTCATCTATTTGGGTTTGTAAAAAATCAATCCTCTGATTGGCAGCCACTATACCTGACAGCATATGCTTGTTAATCTGTGTCTGCATATCCAGGACATCTGCGGTTTTAGTAACAACTTCATTAAGGACATCAGCCGTTTGTATCTGCTGAGCCATCGCTACTCTGCAACAGCGGCTGCCGTTGATGCTAAATGGCAGTGACTATGGCAGCAGTGATCCCAAAATCACGCCGCCTGCATAGGAGTGTAATAATGGGAAACTGTTCAGGGTCAGCATCTACAGGAAGGGGTACAAACGTAGGAACCTTCATCACCACAGCTAGATTCCATGTCCCATTCCAACATTCAGACAAAAAGCATTCCATTCAGGCGTTTTTACAACCAAGCCTTTTCTCTTTACCTGTAGCATTGGTAAGTAAAAAAATGAATGGAGAGGGTAGGCAGACTGCTGCCCCCGGAAGAGTATGATTATACAACTCTTCTTCTTGACTAATATGAAGACGCCTTTCTTGCCCATGCTGCTCACTAACAACACCTGAGACCTTGAGCAACTGTGTTGTGATTGGCAGGAGTTGCACTAAGGCAGAGACATCTACCACAGCTCCCACCTCATTGGAAAGCAACCATTGGTACCAGGACCACCCTGTCCCTGTTATAGAATTTTCATTGGTATGATTATAGATATACCTTTCCATGGAAGGGGATAAAGAAAACCCCCATGCAATTTGTTTCTCTTCCCAGGTTTTTGCTTGACAGGCAGGCAGTAAAGGTGTGTGGGAATGAGAAATCCGGAATGCAATGTGGTGATGCTTTAAAGTGAGTTGCATTCCTAGCGTTTGTTCTCGCTCCAATAGGCACCACGGAATCAGCCCGCATGGCCAGGGTGGTAACATTTATGGCCGACGTAATGTTGCCTGTATCAGACCCTTCTTTCGGTCCATTGACTATGCTGCTTAATGCACTATATAATATGCCTATCTCCACCTTACTATGCCCCAAAGGATCCATCCAGTTGGTGAGACTTTTACGTAGGAGCTTAATGCAAGGATGAGGGCTTTCCTCACCCCAACTAGGAAAAAGCACATGGTCCCATTTAAATCAACACTGGTT